CTATGTTTCAATGTATTTGAAGATTGTATTTGAAAAAGTGTGTGTGCACACGAAAGCTTATACCCAGAATAAAACTTTGTTAAAGGTACCACTGGACTCAAACTTTGTTCTGTTGCTTCAGACCAACAGGGCTATCGAACTGAATCTATTGGCATGCAACCTGTTTCTATTTCTTTATGTTCTCTGCGTATCATACCGATGCGTGAAGGGTAGCAATGCTGACCTAGCTGATGTAAACCTGGTTTACAGAACTCAAGAAGGATTTCTCTGCTGAAAGCCAAAGATATGACAACAACCCTGGAGGAACAAGCTCTAAGTGTCTTGGGAAGAGCTTTGTGGGCAAGTTCATAGCAGAGCGTAATGGTGGACAACTAACCGTGGTTGAATTTTTGGGAAGAGTAATGCAGAAATACTCCAAGATCCTCTTCCATACAGAAAAATTTGTTCTGCTTTCCAGGCACCCAACACATGAAGGGTCCTCTCTGCTTCTGATGCTTGATTAGGGAAGTAGGGCAAGAGCACCAGGCCTTGGTTAAGATGAAGCCCTGAGGCAGCCTCTTCAGTAGAAGGGCAGGACTGCCTTGTTCCTGTGGATCTGCACACAAGGAAGGTTTGGACAACAGAGTTCAAGCGGCCTGCAAGTAGAAAGGCTGCTTTTTAGGTAAAGATCCTTAAAGCACAGGTGGCTAGGGGTTCCAGTGGTTTACCCATGCTGTGTGAGGACCAACTGAAAGTCCAGAACTGATGTTGATGGGTCACTGGAAGATGGAACCTAGTGAAGGCCTTGGAGAAATTCTTCATGGTGGTAATGACACAAAACAAACACATGTTGGGGGTGGAATTGAGAGTCCAGGCTCTGAAATAGTGTTAGGCCACAATTCATTAAATTGGCCATGATATTTCCAGCTGAATCCATACTTTGTTAAATATTGCATAACTGTGCTATGACTATAGCAGTCATTCACAATGAGCACTCCTGGATACAACTGCTGCCTCCACGGGTAGCATAATACTACCAACAAGACCCAGTTCAGAAGTAATGGCTCAGCTTCTGCTGTCAGACCTTACTTCTCTTCAGACCAGCCATTATCTCCTTTACTGGCCAAGGCAATCTTGGTTCCTCACAGTGCTCCGGCTGCCCAAGAGAAACTTTCTTCCGTATCTCCTGCCCCAGCACCTCATATGTTCCATCTGTGTTCTCTAGGCTTGGCAACACTCATCTCTCAAAGTCCTAGCTGCCATTTCAGGTTTTCAGTTAATGTTCCACCAGCCTGATGGAACATGCTCCCATCTGAGATCAGGGCCCAGTGGGACTTACCACCAGTGTTCCCTCTAAGCTGAGTTAGTGTGAGCTAGCTCACAGTTTTTTTAGCCTCTGGCTCACACATTTTTGTCTTAGCTCAGGAAGGATGGCTCCAGAGCAAACTAATTTATGCAGTAGCCAAATTACTCGCTCACAACTTTAATGCCAGTAGCTCACAAAGTAGAATTTTTGCTCACAATACTCCACAGCTTAGAGGGAACATTGCTTACCACCATTCCACAGGGCCTGTAAAACGGAGCGGTTCCACCAGGCCTTTGCTTGAGGCGGCAGGCATCCAATAAAATCTCGCTTCCCCCTGCTGAAGTTTACCGTCTTTATGTGGTCCAGATTAAAAAGACGAAAAGTGGCACCAGCTTGAAATCTGCCTACGAATAGTGTGAACTATTTTAATATATGGTTTATAGTGTTTTGTTTTTGCATTTAATAATGTATTGTAATTTTATGATGTCTAGATCTGTTCTGTGATCCGCCCTGAGTCCGCTTGCAGGGAGGGCAGAATATAAACTGAAACAAAATAAACAAATACATAAATAAAATAAAATAATTGGTTGTTTTGTCAACTCAAGGACAGTTTTTGAAGGACCACAGCATTTTGCTTGATTTTACCTTGAAGATGATTAAGGGTTTGCAAGTTCGTCTCCTAGGGGAAAGACTGATATCTCTACAAGTAGACAGAGTAGTTGGTCAGCTTCAAAGACATGGTAGCAAAAGAGGTGTAGTTCCTGTCCATTCTATCCAGTTTTCTGCCATCTTTGATGATAGGTATATAGTGGAGTGTTTGTCTCCCTTTGCCCTAGGAGGCCTCCACCACAACTGAGGTGGGGAGGAGGGGGGACAGAAACAAAACTTGTACCACTCTTGTACTCCTACACCAAATGACTGGAGGTCATCCTTGTCACCTCCGCCTCCTCCCAGGTGGCCATCTGGGCCCTCACCTGGATTTTCTGCATGCATGGCCTGCCCGACATGGTTGTGATGGACAATGGGACTGCTTTTACATCAGGAGAGTTTCAGGAATTCTTGGGCCACTACCTGATCCGCCAAATCCGGTCTGCACCTTTCCACCCGGTCACCAACAGACAAGTGGAAAGGATGGTGCAGACCACCAAAGACTCCCTCAGGCAGCTCATCCAAGGCGACTGGGAGCACCGGTTGGCAACTTTCCTCTTGGATCACCAGGCAACTTTGAGCTCTGCCACCAGCCACAGCCCAGCAGAGCTCCTTATGGGCCGGTGCCTCACAATCTGGATAGACCAGCTGCACCAGAGAACCGCCCGTTTTCAGAAGTCCAAGAAGTGACCAGAGGGTTCTTCCCAGGCAACCCCATCTATGCTTGGAACTACTTCAGCAGTCCTGAGTGGGTACCCGCAAAGGTCATCAGGGTCACCGGTCGACTGTTGTACGAGGTCTCCATGAATAACGGACAGCTCCTGTGCAGGCACATCGACCAGCTTCACCACCGTCTCCTGCCAGAGGTAGCCGAGCCAGCACCAGCCGCCGCGGAAGCCAGCTGCCCAGAACTGCTACCAATGCTACTGGAGCACAGCCTGGGGTGGGATGCGTCATGCGCCAGGGACCATCCTGACCGCGCAGAGTCGTCATACAGACTGTTCCAGAGCCCCTGGACTCTGTTGCTGATTCACCAACTTTTCCCAGCGCAGCTACAGCAACCCTAGACATGGCTCCTGATTTACCACCATCCGAGCCTAGACGGAGGGAAAGGCACAAGCCAGCGTACCTTGAGGACTATGTGTGTTAAGGTGCTTTGTAACTTAGGGGTGAGGGGTATTATGTATTGGGCATTCCAGGACCGTTTCTACCGGAGACTTGCTGAGCTTGGACCTCTAGAACAACAGCCCACCAGGACTCTGGAGGTGGCCAATGAGGAAATAATGGTTCTGACAATAGCCTATTGTTGGTAGTAGTTTGGGAAGTGGGTGTAGTTTGCATGCTATTTAAATAGGGCTGTTGCCCTGGGGCTTTGTCTTTTTCTTGCTGAATCACTAATAAAGCAGGGCTGATCACTAGGCTTGGGGTCAGACCATCCATGGAGCCCAGTATTTAACAGGGGTGCTCCGGGACCTGAGCCTACTGCTGGATAAGCTGGTGGCAGTGGTGTCCAGCTGCATACTTTCCTGGGCAGAAAAGATTTGGCCACTCTGGTACATGTCCTGGTAACATCCAGGTCCCATGTCCTGGGCGAAAACCAGACTGGAATGGGTCAAGGACAGAAGCGTCATCCAGAAAGCTCTGTAGCTAAGTCGCCACCGCCCCCTCGATCAGTCTGCCCAAACAGGGCAAATTGGACACCGGCCGATAGTTGGCCAATTCAGCCAGGTCCAAAGTTGGTTTTTTCAGGAGAGGGCGGACCATCACTTCCTTGAGTGCCTCGGGGAACTGCCCCTCCGCAAGAGACTTGTTAACAATCTCCCTCAAGGCACCTCGAAACCCCTCGTGGCCCACTTTAATGAGCCAGGAGGGGCACAGATCAAGGCTGCATGTGGTTGGGCACATAGATACGAGCAATCTGTCAACTTCCTCCAGGCTCAGCTGGTCGAAACACTCTAAACCCGGAATCGAAAATGCGCAAGGGGCCTCGAGTTCGCTAACTGTTTCAACTGTGGCAGGGAGGTTGCAGTGGAGCGTCAAGACTTTATCCACAAAATAGCTCGCAAAAGCCTCACAGCCAATGTCCAATTCCCTACTATTTTGTCTGCCCTGTGGCAGAGCCGTCAAAGACCGAATTGTTCTAAATAATTGGGCAGGGCGAGAGCTAGCGGACGCAACCCTGGCTGCATAGAAATCCCTCTTCGCAGCCTTGACTGCCATCTCATAGGATCTCATAAACGTCCTGTAAGATGCTCTTGTAGCCTCGTCGTGGGCTCGGCGCCACCGTCTCTCTAACCGTATGAGTTCCACAGCAAGGGCTGACCCAGGATAGCCCAATCTCATCAGATCTCAGAAACCAAGCAAGGTCAGCCCTGATTAGTATTTGGATGGGAGACCACCAAGGAAGTTTAGAGTCACAACACAGAGACAGGCAATGGCAAACCACTTCTGAAAGTCTCTTGCCTTGAAAACCCCATAGAGCTGCCATAAGTCAGCTGTGACTTGGTGGCTAACAAAAAGAAGAAGATGCTAGATGGTAGCCCCCAGATTTCCAAGCTGTTTCTTTGAAAGTTTCAACATTGTCTTGGGATTTCTAAAATACACACACAGAGAGAACTCTTGGCTCCACAGTAATAAAATGGAAAACAGAATTTTTCTGGGGAGTAAAGACACTTTAGTTTTTTATATAACATGAACTTAGTGATAGATGAAGATGGGTAGCCGTGTCAGTCTGTCTGTAGCAGTGGAAAAGAGTAACAGTCGAGTAGCACCTTAAAGACTAACTAAATTTGTGGCAGGGGGTGAGCTTTCGTGAGTCACTGCTGACTTCTTCAGTATTTAAAGAAGTCAGCAGTGACTCATAAAAGCTTACATCCTACCACAAATGTGTTAGTCCTTAAGGTGCTAATGAACTTAAGTGATTTTTTTTTTTTGCTTTAAAAAACAGCTAAGTGAAATTGTGATTTGAAAAGACAATGGGTGCTTAAATATTGGGGTTTTCTAGTTCTTTAGAACAGTGGTATTAGTCTTTTTATATATTAAAATGAGTTAATAAAATCAAACTCACCTTCCGTGTTGGAAATAGGAGTACTGTCACATTTGCTTTCACACTGTTGCATTGATGGAGGTCGGACAGTATCTGGACAGTCGCTGGATGCTTGCCCAGTATATGAAAGACACTGCACTGTTCTCATCTGTTGTCCAAGGCCACATTGTGCTGAACACTGTATCAAAAAAGGGCAAGAAGGAAAAAACAAAAAGTGAGATATGTAAAATTTTCAGCAATAAGGTAATCATCATGGTGAACAGAGATAACCAATTCACATCCTAGAAAATCCTAGGCTACTTGAGAGTGTCAGAAATGCTATTTAGGGCAGCTGTGAGGAACAAACAGGTCATTTACATGTAAATGTTGCTCTTTGAGTGGTCATCTGTTCGTGTTGAGAGGCTTATGCTTGTACACAGCATCGACTCAGCAACAGGTTTGGATTGTGCATGCCTAAAAGACAGGAGTCATGCCTTCCCACTCAGTTCCTTCCAAAAAACCAGAATGCCACTACAACTTTAAGGCACCTGTTGCAGGGAAGGTGAGCAGGCTGAGTTAATGCACAGATGATCACTCAAAGGACAATAGTTACAGGTAAGCAACTTGATTTTTACTTCTTTGTGATCTCTGTGACAAAACTGATGGATAGAAACTATGAGGCTGGAGGCAGATACAAGTGCATCAACTGAAGACCGAACGCAGCAAAGATGGCATCTGTTAGGTTAGTGCATCCAGGGTGCAATGCCTGATGAATGTACAGGGTGAGCCCAAGTGGCTGCTCTGCACAGTCCTGGAAGAGGAACCCCTCTACATAAATTGAAGATGTGACCACAGTTCTCTGGGAGTGGTTATAAGCTAGTTTGTAGCAGAATTGTTTTGTCTAAGGGATCCATCTGCTGATTCTCTGGGATGAGACTTGCTACCTGGTTTTTGGGCCAGCATAACACACAAATAATCCTGTACAGTGAGGAAAAGCTGCAGTCCTGTGGACATAAAAAGAGCAAGCCCCCCTGACATCTAAGGAGTTAAAGGCTTTTTCAGCATCAGAAGAAGGCAAAGGATAGACGGTGGAGCACGGTGGATAGAAGGTGGGGAACAGCGGATCTTGGCTTAGGTGGAACCCTGACACCACCTTTGACAGAAAGGAGATGCGAGACTTCAGAACAATCTCATTCCTGTGGAAAGGAAGGAGAATTAGACTATAGCGCAGAGACTTCAGAAGCCTGTCTGGCAAAGCAAAATGCCAACAGAAATGCTGCTCCCAGTGATAGACAGCACAGGTGCAGATCGTAACAGAAACAGGAACGCTTGGTGTTGCAACTTGTGGTAAAGAGATGGATTTTGGGGGAAACCCATCTCTGGACTACAGGATGCAGGTAAGTTTCCTTGATCATCCATTCAGGCGCCACTGTGCCCTAGTGACTGAGAACATCTGCCTGGACACTGTTATTCCCCCATGCCATGAATTTTAACAGGAATACTATTGTGGGAGATGCATATCTCCCACAGGCAGCAGGCAGTCCGTTGCAGTGTGAAATATTGTGGCACCCTGATTGTTAATGCAACCCATGGCAGTTGTGTTATTGTGGCCGTCTGTACTCTTCGTCTTGCAGCCTGGAGAGGAAGGCATGACATGATTTGTACACTGATAGCAGCTCTAGATGTTTGATCTGAAGCTTCCTCTTCTGACGTGACTAGAGTTGGTTGATGGAATCTACATTGCAGTGGACATCCCAGCCCCAAAAGGAGGCATCTGTCATCAGGATCAAGTGTGCAGTGGGAGGAGCAAAGGGCATAACTTGGCCAACATTCCTCTGGCAAGGGACTGTATCACCCACCATATCACCCAATAAGAAGAATCTGTCCTACAGATGCATCACGGTTTGGAAATGCTGCAGAAATCACATTTGTAAGTGTATACTTAGTATACCGCTAAGGTAAGGTGGTGGATGCCATGTGATCCAGAAGTCTCTGGATATCGATCACCAGTTGTTGAGGGCAGTGGATGAAAGCTCAAACCATGCCCATGAGACCATTGTCTGTCTAGTAGAAGGTAAACCTTGCCAGTGAGAGAATCCAGTACAGTAAACTGGAGGATGCTGGCAGGATAAGAATGAGACTGTTGTCACAACATCCAGGGAGGGTAGGATGTGCAGAGCTATTCTCACCTGATGACAGAGGGAGGAACAGAAAATGCAGTCAGGAACCAGTTATCCATGTACCAAAGAACAGTAACCCCTCAGTACTGAAGGTGCACTACAGCCACTGCCATTCGTGTTACACAAAACCTCAGGAAAATGTCAAAGCCTAAGGACAACAGCCTGTACTGGTAATGGACATCTCTCAAGATAAACCATAGAAACCAATGATGTTGATGTTTGACAGAGATGTGAAAATATGCATTCCTGAGGTCAACAGAGACAGGATGGATGTTACGGTCACCATCTAGAACTTCTTGGTCTTGATGTATAATCTTGGGGACACACCTGAAGTACCAGGGGAAGTACTGAAATAGAAAACTAGCTCCCCTTGGAAAGAAGGTGATATTAGAAATGCCTCATGAAAACTGAGAGGAGGAATGAGATCTGTGCCAGCTGCCAAACTGTTACCCAAACAGGCAGTCTCCTAATTAGTTGGGGGAATTAGCAAAGGAGACAGAGCAAGAGGCAGGTAACTGGAATTCTCCACCTAAGTATACTAGGGTTTTTCACCTTAAGAGAACTCCCAAATAACCAGGCAGATGTTCAACTGGAAAGGTTTTTATTAAAAAGAAAAAGGAAAATAAACAAAAATGCATACACACACACAGAAACACAGAGAAGAAATAACTAAGAAAATAGGGAGGAAAGGAAAAGGTTTTTAGGGAAAGGCAATAATTATTGATCTTGAAAAGGTCCATGGACGTAGTAAATTGAAGAGCAAAACAGCCAGCATTTCAGGAGGTGAGAGAGGGGAGAGTCCACAAAGTGGTGGTGTATGCAGTTGGTACCAGGAACACTCACAAAGACACACTGCTGGGATGGCAGGTTAGTCCAGTTAGAGGGCAAAATATACCCGCAGGTGGGGATGACACGTTTGCCAGAAAACAATAACTAAATGGCTTAATGAGAAAAACTTGATGGCTTTGCAAGTACCGGATGGGAAGGGGAATTGAGAAGGTGAAAAGATTTAAGTGTTACTTAATGGCCACTTAAGGTGTAATGGGTGAGGGGAATTGAGGCCAGGGCGATGATGGCATTAGGCTGAGTGAATCTAGGTCCTGGGCAACCCATTGTTCTAAAGTCATGCATTTCTGCAGGGAAAGGAGTGGGTGTAGCAAGCCAGTCTCTCTGACCTGCATTTTGAAACTATTTCCCCAAGTTGATGCCTGGCTGGCATCCATTTTGGGTCCATTTTGGCCCAAACAGTGTCCTGCACTAAGATATTGGGGTGACGTATGGAGAGGTGTTTCTGCCTCAATAAGCTATAAACTGCCTTCTGAGAGAGGAAAGGTCTGACTGCTAAGAGAAAAAGATCTTAGAAACAAGGACAAAGAGCATGACTGAAAAAAACTAGATGGGGTGTCCTCAGGCTGACCTTCAGACACCGAGACCAGTGGTATTGGAGACTTTTGTGATCTCATGGTGATTTTGAAATAAACTGCTGTACACACGTGAGTGGCTGAATGTAACACAACTGCTGAATGTAACACAACAGACTAACACAGAAACTGAAACTAAGAAAAAGAGAACCGTCCAGGGGGGTGGAATCTTCCTCCAACCCATAATCAGGTTCCGGTTAACTCTTTGCTATCCATTTTACTACAGAGACTGTTTCCCCTCTCGTAAGGAGGACCTGTGTTGCTAAGATGTCTAGAATCGGCTCAGCTCTGACAACCAAAGGAGCCAAAGGGGACCTGTCAACAGGACTGAAGATGTAGAGGTAGTAGGTTGCACAGATGATTCTGACTGTTTGTGTTCCGAGGCTCTGACTAAAATCTTATGGTGCTCTGTCTGCAGCTTCTTTGGAGGCAGAGATCAATCCTTCTCTATTTTGCTGTTTCCAAATTCTAAGGTTGTGCTGTCCTGCTGAGCAGGCTTTGATCTTGATGGGTCATTTCCAGCCTTTGAAGAGGCAGAGATCAGGACAATAGAAGGAGTAACCAATGAAGCTGACATGTCTTCAATAGCCTGTGAGGGCACAGCAGCCCTATCCCGAAGGGTGGGTTGCAGAAGGAAAGCCCATGCTTTGTTTGTACACAAACCAACTCCGAGTCATTCACAACGACAGAATAAACAGAGGTCTTAATGGTCTGATAATGGGAGGTCATCCTCACACTGAAGATGGTCTTCAATGCCACAACCTTTGGGGTGCCCCAGGTCCAAGAGAAAACTATGTACAGTTATATACACGGCTGTCTATCTACTAAGATAAAAAAATTAAGCACGGAGTCACTATATACAGAAAGAGAATGAAACCCCCCCCCCCCCCAGTGTTCCTGAGGAAAGAGGGGAGTTCTCAAATGGTGCAGCCACTGCAGTGGATGGAAGATAACTGAGTGGAAAGGAGCAACTCCTCCTTAGGCACGTAGAGGCCAAAGCTGCATCCCTGAGGGGAGGAGGCTTTCCTGTCTAAACGCTACCTCTGGAAGTTTCCAGGTCAATGCTCTGCACAGGTGCAAACCCCATCAGTGTGGTGCACTGAGACCACAAAGGAGTGACCCCATTCACTGCCACATTGTGAAACTTAACTTAGCAAGCACACTTTACTTGGGTAATGAGGACCTACTTACTACTATGTTTCTCTCCAGGAAGACTTTTTAAAGCCATGACTAACCTATATCACTTCTTCTTTTTTTTTTTGCAAAGCATAGTGGCAGAAGCCTTCAGAAATGAAGTTAAAACCGGAGCAAGAGAAAAGTGAGGCCAATTAGTTGATGGCATATAGGAGAACTGTAATGGGTGGTATAGAAAAATGGCTAGAAACAACCACTGCACTTCTGGATGACCCAGAGAGCAGCTGGTTATGTTACAGAATTTTGCATTTCCATAGTACACTGGCTTAACTTGGTAATATTTGCCATGGAAGGCAGAACCATACAATTCATTCTCCAAAAGTAGTTCAAAGTTAATCGAATTGGTAAACTTACGGGTAAACAAATGCATGCAGTTCTGTACCATTTAGTGTTCGATCCCTCTCCACTCCTGGAGATTCGATCTGAGAACTTTGGCAGAACAGAACCCCAGGAGTACAGTGAATGGTCCACCCCTTCCCTTTCCCCCATCCCCCCGCCCATGTCTGCAGAGGGGGGAAACCTAATCCTGGCACTTGGAGATGGTTGAAATGAGACGAAAATGATGTGGAGTCTCCAGATGCATTTTCTATTAACTGCAGCATATTTCCCCATTGTGGGGAGCTCTAAACTATTCTGCGGTCCCCACTTCCCAGGGCCTATGAACACTAATTGTAAGTTCTGCTGACTTCAGTATTCATTTATTTTAGGCTTTTCCACTGCAAAGTGAAGTTAAACGGTTCTTTTATATGTGACAGCTGCCATTCTTTTTGCAAGATTTGATCCCCTAAGATCCTGTCACATTAGGCAATAGCTATACATTATCAATAACAAAACTTCATTTCTCTAGTTACGCAGCAAGCTTGCCTACCTGCCCCCAGTCTCCAGTAACCCATCGTGGAGGGGGACATCTGCCCAAGCTACAGCGCATACGAACTGGTGGTTTGTTTTCTTCCTGGCAATGTGCAACTGAAAATGTTTTCAAAAGATCACTGCTTTTGCAGAGAACGATACGGTGCTTGAAACCAGGACCACATTTTGGAGTACACTGAAAGGAAGAGATATACAAGGTTTAAAAAATAAAAAGTTAAACATTGTTTTTCTAAAAGACAACGTATCTACTGTATCTAGAATTATGACAGAGCATAAACTATGCAAAATAAAGCTGCAGAATGGATTGTGCAGATTGAGCAGACCTGCACAATTTACATGGTGTGATGTTGGAATGCGGGTTGATTTGCTGGTATATGCCAAACTGAGATTTTAAACCAGTTTGTATTTGACTCATTAACTCTGGTTTTACTCATTGGGGGTTGTTGTGATATCTGAAAGCAGAAGCCCCTGCTTATTCAGGGGTACTGGCACTCTTAGCCTCTTGCATATAGAGGCAGAAGCACAGAATAGAACCTTTGTGACTGAAACGGCATTCAGTTCTCAATGGTGCTTCCTAAAGATCCCCCCTCCTTCCTTTCCTCTTCCAGCTGCCTGTTCCTCCCCTCCCTACTAGTACTGACTCACCAAGCAGAATGTGCTATAGAGACTTTAGCCTTCCCTAAAGGAAAATTTAAAATGCAGTGTGAAACAGTGAAAGGTGGTGAGAGCCTGTAAGCAATCTAAATTGTTTACAAGATGCTTTGAAATGGCTGGACAAAAGCCGTTGATGACTGCCAGAAGATAAAAGGAAGCAAAAGTTGCAAAAATTCCTTTTATTTCAGAGTTAAAATGTTCAGTCATTCAGTGAAACAGCTAGACCTACAAATATGATCACATGAAGCTGCCTTATACTGAATCACACCATTGGTCCATCAAGGTCAGTATTATCTATTAATAATGGCAGCAGTGCTCCAGGGTCTCAAGCAGAAGTCTTTCGTATCACCTACTACCAGATCCTTTTCTCAATGTGAAATGCCAGAGATTGAACCTGAGACCTTCTGCACATCAAGCAGATGCTCAACCACTGGGCCATAGCTCAGAAAGGGGAAGAGAGAGGAAAAGGAGACCTTGCTTGCCTTAGATTTTCCCTCCCACTTACTGTGGCTGATCAATTGTGACGCTTTGCTAGGAGTTTGGCAATCGAAGCAAGCTAGGATTCTGCTTGGAGGAAGGAACAGACTGAGATTTACGTACAGCAGTCTGTTCTGTATGTCTGGTACACCTGCAGTGCAATCCTAAACAGAGTTACATCCTTCTATGCTCATTGATTTTAATGGACTTGGAAGGGTGTATTGTAACAGACCATTAGATTAAGTCATTAATCTAAGCCCATTAAGGATGCCGCTGTAACTAGGGTTTGGTTTCAACAAACAGGTTTTTTCCATGTCTGAATGAAACCACTCTCTAATTTACGTTATAATGCTTCATTTCAGCAGACAAATCCCTCTCTCTTTATTTATTACTCCTGGCCGATGAATGAAACATACAAATGTGTATGAAATTCGATATTATGAGTTTACTCACTTCTGACCAATCCAAAGCAACCCACTGTGGAGGACAAGACTGGTTGTTACAAGATTCTTTTTCAATAGGTCGATATGTTAGGCAATGACTGCTGTCCAGGGACTCCTCTTCAGAAGGTCCAATTTTCCTGATACACAGAACTGTTCGCATTCTTATTCCACCATCACAGGTTTTACTGCATTCTGACCAATCTCCTATAAACCATCTGCAAGAAGAGGAATTAAAACTTTATTTAACAAATTAAATTCACACCATTAATACAGAGATGTAACTGAACACACAATAAACAAACAAAAAGCAAGCGTTCCAAAAGCAATGAGTTTTAATAAAGATCACTTCCATTTGGAGTCTGCTCTACAGTTAGATCTGGACCTCTCTCTCTCACTGTATTTACATCTAGGAACTGGCTATATTTTGCCAACATAGTAATGAACGAACTACCTCATCTATGTAGTACTTACTCAGGCGGGCAAGGCTCAGAGTTACAGGCTCTTTGATTTTCTGGTGGTTTACTGTCAGGATCACAGTAGTTGTTCTGAACTACAGAACTGTCATCCAGCCTCTTGCATACTACTTCTTGTTTCTGTGTACCTTGAAAATATAAAGGTAGTACATCATTAATAGATCTTCCATTTTTAAAATGAACAAACTCCTCATATTTCAAACCCACATAGTCTGTGACCCATCAAGCTGAATACAACCTAACAGCCCTATAGAGCACCTCACCCAAGCTTGATAAACCTCCTGGCCTTGTTGGCTACTCGGATATGCAAAAATATGACGATGGTCAAGCACCTAGCAGACCATAATACATAGTTAGTGAACTGAGAATTAAACTGAAACATGATAATTTTATATATAAAATGTATCCTCAGGACTTACATGAAATATTAACTCCACAGTATTAATTAAAACGCCCTGACCTGGATAGCCCTGGATAGCCCAACCTCATCAGATCTTGGAAGCTAAGTGGGGCTGGCCCTGGCTAGTATTTGGATGGGAGACCTCCAAGGTATACCAGGGCTGTGACACAGAGGCAGGCCATGGCAAACCACCTCTGAACTCTCTTGCCTTGAAAACCCTACAAAGTCGCCTTAAATCAGCTGCTGTGACTTGACGGCACTTTCCATCACCATTCATGTAAACATTGCATTATTTCTTTTAGTAGCTCTTTCTCATGATTACACCAAACTACCTTCTTGATAGGTGAAAGTGCCATAATCTCTGCATCTCCTTTACTAGAGCATCTCTAACAAGAACATGAATAATCGAGGAAAATGAAGTAAAATTTCATATTGCTCAGGCCTGTTCACCTCCTTTCTAGTATAAAAGTTTTACTAACGGCTGAAGACATTAGGGTTTGATGAACAAACACAAGGAAAAGAACTCACTGGAAATTTTAGTGTTGCATAACCAGGATGATGAATCATCAAAATTTTTGATCAGGTCTCCTATGTTTCCTACCTGTTTATTCTTGAACATACGCCAATGTTCTACATTTCTTAAACCCAAAACAAGCACTAAAACCAATATTTCCTTTATTCATATGCTATCCATTATACTAATACAGCACTGGCTACCCATTAATAACTGAACCTGTTCTGCTGAAAACACCTTCTAAGTCTCAAGACTATGGTTGTTGTTGTTCAGTCGCACAGTCGAGTCCGACTCTTCACGACCCCATGGACCAGCTCCCGCCAGGCCCTCCTGTCTTCCGCTGTCCTCTGAAGTTTGCTCAATTTCATGTTCGTTGCATCTATGACACTGTCTAACCATCTCATCCTTTGCCGTCCCCGTCTTCTGTGACCTTCAATCTTTCCCAGCATCAGGGTCTTCTCCAGTGAGTGCTCCCTTCTCATTTGGTGGCCAAAGTATTTGAGCTTCGGTTTCATTATCTGGCCTTCCAGGGAACAGTCAGGGTTGATTTCTTTTAGGATTGACTGATTTGATCTTCTTGCAGTCCAAGGGACTCTCAAGAGTCTTCTCCAGCACCATAGTTCAAAAGAATCTATTCTTCGGCGCTAGGCCTTCCTTATAGTCTAACTCTCGCAGCCATACATGACTACTGGGAATACCATTGCTTTGACTATGCGGACTTTTGTTGGCAGGGTGATGTCTCTACTTTTTATCATGCTGTTTAGGTTCACCATCGCTTTCCTCCCAAGGAGCAGGCGTCTTTTAATTTCATGGCTGCAGTCACAGTCTGCGGTGATCTGGGATCCCAGGAACGTGAAGTCTGTCGCTACTTCCACGACTTCCCCTTCTATTTGCCAAGGAGTGATGGGGCCGGATGCCATTATCTTAGTTTTTTTGATGTTGAGCTTCAAGCCCACTTTTGCGCTCTCCTCTTTGACCCTGAGCAAGAGGCTCTTTAGGTCCTCTTCACTTTCTGCCATTAGAGTGGTATCGTCTGCATATCTGAGGTTGTTGATCTTTTCCCCAGCAATCTTAATTCCCGCTTGTGATTCATCCAGGCCAGCATTTCGCATGATGTACTCTGCATATATACTAAATAAGTAAGGTGACAATATACATCCTTGTCGTACTCCTTTTCCTATGCTAAACCAATCAGTTGTTCCATATCCGGTTCTAACTGTTGCTTCTTCACCCTTATACAGGTTTCTCAAGAGACATGTGAAGTGGTCTGGTACTCCCATCTCTTTAAGGACCTGCCATAGTTTGTTGTGATCCACACAGTCAAAGGCTTTAGCATAGTCAATGAAGCAGAAGTAGATGTTTTTCTGGTACTCTCTTGCTTTCTGCATAATCCAGCGAATGTTGGCAATTTGATCTCTAGTTCCTCTACCTCTTCGAAACCCAGCTTGTACTTCTGGCAGTTCTCTATCCACGTACTGTTGAAGCCTAGCTTGTTAATTGCAAATAAGCATAATTTTTACCATTTCAGGGCTTATTTGGTGTTTTCCAAGAGCCTTGGTTTTTAAAAGGGCCTGGATGCCAGTGAGTCAATGAAACTGAGCTTAAACAAGACTAAAGAAGTCGAGTCGTATGTCCTAGAATTGGGGTCCCCAACGTGGTGCTTGTGGGTGCCAGGGTGCCTGCTGACACCTTTTTTGGTGCTCGCCAAGTTTTTTCTTATAAAGTGGGCAGAGCCAGGTAGGGCTTTTGCCCAGCAAGTCTTTTGCTTGACTATTGGGGATTTGATTTAAATGTTTTGGCGGCAGCTGCCACCACAGCACAAGGACCTGCACTGTGTTACTGGAGTTAAGGCGAGGCAATGATTTTACCTCTGAACCTGGAAGCCCATCTGAGGCATTTTGTTATGTTAGGTCAGGAACATTCCAGGATTATCTACCAGAGACTGGCTTGGAGCTCTAGAACAATAGCCCACCAGGACTCTGGAAGTGACCAATGAGAAACTAATCGTTGGGAGTTGGGTGTGTTTGGGTGTGAATTTTGCATGCTATTTAAACAGGGCTCTTGCCCTGGTGTTTTAGTCTTGTTCCTGAAATCACTTAATAAAGTAGAGCTGTTCACTGCAATGCATCTTGAACCCAGTATTTAACACTGGCGACAAAGGCGGGATCCTGTTGAGCGAGCCTAGAGCCCATCTGCACCGCACCGCACACCAAGCTCCAGTGCCATGTGCATCGTACCGCAACCAAGACCATGGCTGCCACTCAAGGACACTTTGACCCATTCAACGCCACTGCTAAGGACTGGGACTCCTTCATTTCTTGCTTCGAGTTCTTCCTCAAGTCCTCCGAGGTCGACAAAGCCGCGAAGAAGCGTGCCACCTTCTTCCAGGTCTGCAGCCACTCAACATTCGAGATCGCTTGCTCGCTGCTAGCGCCAGTGGAGCTACGAAACACCCTGTACCAGATTATTATAGACCAGCTGAAGGAGCACTTCGTGCGAACGCCCTCCGCATTGCAGCCCACCACACATTCTACACGAGGAACCAGGAAACGGGTGAGTCAATCACGGCCTATGCTATGGCACTCCAATGTGCCACGTGACACTGCAACTTCCACAATCTCAAGGAAGTGCTCTGTGACCGGCTGTTGTGCGGACTTCGGGACGAGTGGTTCCAATGACAGCTCATTGCCAAGTGGGACCCCACATTCAAGGACACACTTGAAGAAGCCCTTTCCGCAGAAGCCGCCGACCAGTTCACTGCAGAGGTCCACCAAACTCTGAGCCCGCCAGCTTCACAGAGGCCCAATACCACAGCCCACCATGTGGATACCTCCGACGAGGACAAGGAGGTCCTGAAAATACATTGCCCAGCCCGCCACGGCACTAGTACATTTGCCACAGCTTGCACCAATGAATCTACCACTTCAACACCATGCGCCAGCTGCGGGGAGCCCTATGAGCAGAAATCCTGCCATTTCCGTGACGCCATGGAGCTGCAGAAAGGTCAGCCATATCGCCTGCACCTGCCGTTCCAAGAGAACCTGAAGGCGACAGTCCATGCATGCCATGGAACTGCACACCACTGCTGTCCAGCCACACCAGGTACTGCACTTGCCCCAGGACACCCCCGATAAAAATTAAAGTGACTGTTGTAATCGAGGGAGCCCTTTGCATGATGGAGCTAGAAATAGGGTCCTCCATTTCCATAATCTCGGAGGACACCCTCCGTAGGCTCTGCCCTAAATGGGGCCCTTGTCTCCACCTGGCCGGTTTCATCCTACAAGACTTTCAACATAATGCGGTGGCTGTGAAAGGGGTGGGAAAGTTTTGGGTGCACTACTGGAATTTTGAAGGACTCTTGGACTTGCTGATAGTGGGGGCCGTCGCATGGCTTTACTAAGATTAGCATGGTTCGAGCCTTTGGGTTTCCAGGTCATGGGGGTACCCCAAATTGCCTGAGAAGTCTCTCAGCAGCTGTGTGACGAGCTCCCAGCCATATTTGATGGGACGCTCAGTCGGTACACCATTTCCCTCCAGCTCCACCCAGAGGTGCAGCCCATAAGGCTGAAGGCCAGGCACGTCCCATTCATGGTCGTTTGGTGGACCAAGGGGTTTTGGAACCAGTCTCACATGCCCTCTGGGAAACCCTGATTTTTATGCCCGTTAAGCCCAACGGGGACATCCGCATCTGTGCGAACTATAAATGTACCATTAATAAGGCACTGCAGGACCACGCCTACCCAGTCCCAGTAGGCAGCCACGTCTTGGCCTCCTTGGCGGGCACTAAGATTTTCAGGAAGTTGGACTTGGCCCAGGCCTACCAGCAACTCCCAGTGGATGATACGACAGCAGAGGCCCAGACCATAGTCACGCACAGGGGCGCATTCAGGGTGCGGCAACTACAATTTGGTGTCAGCATGCCCCCAGGGAGTTTCCAAAATCTCATGGACTCCCACCTTAAAGGAATCCCCAGGGTCCAGTGCTTTTTCTATGACGTTCTGATCGCCGCCCCCACAGAAGAGGAATTTGTCAGCTGGTTGCATGCTGTCCTGCAGTGGTTCCAGTCGGGCAGCCTGAAGGTGAAGCGGGAGAAGGGCCTCCTGGGTGTTCCACGGGTTGAGTTCCATCCATCTGGCCTCAGACAAGGTTAGCGCCATCGTCAACGCCCCTGCATCTACTTCCAAGCAGGAGCCATAGGCTTTCTTGGGGCTACT